ATTGATTTAAATGATTAAAATTTATGCATTTAGTTCATAATCTATCTAATTAGAAGCATACAATATTTTCAAAGAATGATGCTATACATTTCTTTATTATTCCTTTCGTATTTTTTAACACTTTAACGAATTTTAATTAACAAACTCAACAATTTGAATGCGTGCAGTGGCAACACTGTGAGTATTCAAGCATTAATATCTCCAACTCCTCGAGATTGTCTATCGCAAATTCTAAAGATGTGCTGTTTTTAATATGTTATGATTTTGCTGTTTATTTCACTTTTATATGGCGTGAGTGTGATGTTTTATAAAAAAAGTCAAACACACAAAATGTTAAAAAGAAAAAAATTTTGTAAGCCATTAGCCTTTGGATTATGAAAGCGGAAAGGTAAATAAAATTAATATGGTAGAACAACAAGCACAGTACTTTACATTTTACGCTTAAGAATTTAAATCAGGTTTTATACATATAAATTAAAATTCGAAAATGAGCATTCTTTTTTTTTTTTTTTTTTATTCACATGAACTAAAGATTACTTACTTTTAAAAATGTTTAAAATTATCTAATTAATTCTAAGCACGCATTTCTGAGAACAACGCTGCTATTATTTTTATTGTATTTAAATGGAAACAACATTTTCAATAATGATAACATTTGCTTAAATAACAGTTAGCAGTTACAGCATTAAAATACAATTTTTTGGTTACACCAACTTCGAAAATTATGCTTACAGTTCAATTTATATTTCAGGAGTCATCTCAAAAATTGAAAAGAACAAATTCATCATTATTCAGTTTTATTAATTATATCTAACTACAAATAGAGATTTGATTTATTTTTTAATATCAATTTCTCTTCACACGCCTCAGAATGTGTTATGGAGGGAAAGCTTTACAATCAGTTTCCTGTATCAGAAAATCAGTTTGACTAAATAAATTCAAAACAACTTAAATATTACTTTCAATTTTTATCTTGTTTTTTTTATCTTGTCAAACATGTATTTTATAAGACCTGAAAAAATTTCTCAAGGTACATAATTTACATTAGAAAAATTAATCATCAAAATGTTTATACGATTATAATGAGTCAAATCAGCAGAGGATAAAGTAGCAGATGTAAAAAAATAAGTGCTTCCTTAAAGATCTCAAATAAAAGTATTAAGCTGTGAATGATAAAAATTACTTCGCTTTCAAATTCTGATTTCAGTTAAAGTTAATGTTCTTGTTCCCATAACAAAGCATTGTTAAAAGAAGATAATACTTATAATTTGCTAACAAGCACATCAAAAATTTAACTAAATTTTTTTCTTCAACCAAATTCTGAAATTTTAATCAGCTTATTAGCGCAAATCCTTGTTCCATTTATTTTATTTATAGTATGTACAGTTTTATTTTACTAGTATGTACATTTTTTATGAGTGCCAATTATAGTTAAGAAAGTTATGTTTTTAAAAAGTTAATAAGCAGTACTCGTGTATAATAATAGTTAGTGAACATCTGAGTTCGTTATTCAAATCATCTAAAAATGCAAACAAATGTTATTAAATGACTTCGTTTTCAATTTTTGACTTTCAATTAAAATTCATTTTGCCTGTTGTCTACCAAGACTTGATTAAAGAAACTACCTATTTAAAATTTACTAATATATTTTATTTATTATTTCCAGTATGGTGCGCTGCATATTAACATAAAAAGTGAAATTATTTGAAACCCATTTTGTTTAAACTTCTCAGTCATGTTTTTACATCCACTATTATTTCATAGCACAAATTCGATAGTTGAAAAATTATTTTAATAGACTTTGCTACATAATTTTGCTATATAATATATATATGTGATTAAAAAAAGAGAAAATGACGTAGGAAATGTTGATGGCGTAGAACGCAGATCCATACAGAAGAGAGAACTTGGAAGTTGATGTGGTTAAAATTCGATTTTTATTTAAATTCACATTTGTAGCAACAGTTCGCTTGGAACTCTAATCGTGCTCTAATCGTTTACATTTTTGATAGGAAGAGAGATAACGTCCAAGCAGCACAGAGGTTCAAGCTAAAAGTGCGCAGTTCCAATATGCAAGCTCGCCAAGAGGGAGGTTTTGGTTTAGGTTAGAAAGGTTTCAGTTCTCGAATTTTGAGTTTAGGTTCCTAATTAGTCACGTCATCAGCGATACGCAAGCCATGTGACAAGGATTAATCTAGAAATGACGCAATCCATAGAAATTATTATGAGTTTTAAAAAAGCGAGGGAGAATTAAGGGGTTAAAGTTAGTTTAAATTATAATTTTGAATTACATATTTTTTATCTTGCATATATAATCAAATGAATGAAAGGGGAATACTCCTGTTATAAATCCAATAAATTACAATAAATAAAATCGATAGGAAAGTAGGTTTAACTCAAAATTTAAACTGTTAATAAAATTAACATAATCTTTACAGGCTATGTTTAATTAAATCACTGCAGCATAGGCGCAGGATTCTTAAACAATCCTTTCCTTTTGTTTATGTTATTATATATATTATATTACATTACTTTACATTATATATATGAGGAATTCAATACTTTAATAGCTTTCGTCATGGCTGGGGGACTCAATGCGTACAGAAGAAGCTGACGAAATTGGGTTTTGCAAATACCAATTTTTATTTTTATACATATCCAATCAGTTTGGCGGACACTTATTCAATCATAATTAAAAATGATAAATTTCTATGTACATTGTTTTTGTAAAGAAATGACAAAGGCATTTAGTAAAACGACGCGGTGCTGGCAGAGCAGCAGTTAGGGAAGGGAAGAATGGCATAATTAACTCGTCAGGAGTATTTATACCAAAGTAGATGCAATTGCAGAGATAAGTATGATTGGTTAATTTTAGTTTTGGTTAGACTTTTCAAGTAGCGTTATATAACATGGAAAGATCTCGAATTTGGGAGAACAGATGAAGTTAAAGGAAGAGCACCAAATCTAGAATGGTTAATTTTGAGGTTGCCAGTTTTTTTAAAGTAGAAATCGTATTGTGTTATATATTACATATATATACAGGTTGCACAATTTTAAATCTTGTACTGCTATTTGTACTTGCATACATTTTAAATTATTGAATAAAACTGGAATGCTATCATCAAATATAACCTACCTCCGAATTGAAGAGATATTACAGTAATGTATTTTGTTTCTAAAGCATATTTAAAAAAATCGTTTCTTGATGAATAGGAAAGAGACTTCGTTTCGCATTTGAGCTTGCTGACTTGTTTTATAAGATAAAATAGTTGCGCTAAACATGTACCATCAGGAAAGAAGTATGTAATCTTCCTTTCGAGAATTAGAGAATTATATTAAAATCAGACTGATTCTGTTCAGTATGTTAATAAATTTATAATAATTGTTGTAAATTGACCATTGCCTTGTTCTAATATTTTCCTATATGTATATATATATATATATATATATAGATATAACAAAATACGATAGCTGCTTTAAGAACAATTGGCGACATCAAAATTAACTATTCTAGATTTGATGCTTTCCCCGTAAATTCATCTGTTCTCCCAAATTCGAGATCTTTCTATGTTATATAACAATCTAAAATTAACCAATCAGAGATTAATTGTACGTACATCAGCCTTAGCATGAATAATCTTTGAATAATAGATTACGTCATTCTTTTACTAGCTTCGCCATTGCTAACATATCCCAGCTGCTCTGCTCGTCCGTCTAAAATGATGTCGCCACCCGTTAACCTGTATATATGCAAGCATTACGTTAATTTTATTAACACTTAAATTTTGAGTTAAACTTTCTTTCCTATCTCTTCTTAATTTCAACTTACCACTTCCGGCCAGAAAGTAGTTCACGTTTGAATGCAAATTAAGGAAGAGCGATATTTAACCGCGAAGTTCTACTATCTTAGCCAGAGATACCAGAGACTCTGGTTAGCACGCTTCCGCTTTTTTAGGCTACTCTCTCGTAAGCTATTATTACGCTTGGCCGTACTTTAGGCCCTTGATAGCTTCGGCTATCAATGGCTATCAAGCTAATTAGTGTTAAGGGGGCTAACTCCGTTAGAATCTTGATAGCGTTGGCTGTATCTGTTTAGTTAAGATTAGTTTAGTTTACTTTTTAGTTTCCTGGGTTAAAGGATTAATTCACTCTTCTCACTTGTTGTTTTCTACCTCACGAACTCAAACAATTATTTGCTTACTTGTTCTTAAGATTCTTCACATTCAACTGTAACTTATAATTACACAGTGGGGAATCTTACATATATATGAACATATTGCATTTCATTGTGATTGGATAAATGTCTACTAAGGTCGCTTGATATGCGTGAAAATAAAGATAGGGACTTCTTAAAAATTCATTTGTGCCGGCGTCATCTGTTCTCCTCTTTCCACTCAGCCATTACGATTGCGCATTAAATAGTCACACACACACACACACACACACATACACACACACACACACATATATATATATATATATATTATATATATATATGAAAAATCTGTATATTATTTTCAATATATACTTAAATGGGAGAAAATATATGTAATAATAATATTTTATATAATAATTTATATATAATAATAATAATAATAATAATAATATATGTAATTCAATTGGAGGAAATATATGCAATAATAATAAAAATAATAATAAACAAAATACATCAGCGAGTAAAGATAAGTGTCTGAAGATAATAATACAGCTTTTTTTTCAGAATTTTAGTCATTTTTACCGCTGCATTTAATTTGTATGATCTTGTATACTTTACTTTGACTCCATTTCTAAGTTTAATTTAAAAAAAAATTATAATAACGCCATTTATAATTTGCAATACGATTAATTTGCTCAATTAATCACATTTTGTGTATTTTCTTGTCTGTTAGTTTTAATTTTAACTAAATCAATGTATATTTGTATTTTCTTCTAACATATTTACTTATACAACCACCATTTGAGAATAATCAGAGTTCATTTTATTTACTTTTTCCATCTAGATGTTGCACCCAAGTTCAAATTCACCTTTCCCGAGAAAATAGTTCGATCATCAAGCTACGTCTCCTTGATGTGCGTAGCTACTGGAAATCCCGCTCCTCAGATGAAATGGACTATGGATGGTATATGGCCTTTGTCGACTCGCCCTGGCACGCTGGTTAGCACTTACTTGAGCAACCATGGAGAAGTCTTCAGTTACGTCAACATCACATCCGTAGACGTAACAGATAGTGGCGTTTACGCTTGTGAAGCGTATAACGACGCCGGACGGACAGTTCATGCGAAAAGATTGAATGTTTTCGGAAACCTCTTCATTCGACCCCTCAATAATTTAACCGCCTTGTCTGGTGAAGGGTTTTCAGTCATGTGCCCTTTCGGAGGATATCCATTTGACAACATTGCATGGAAAAGAGGTAAGATAAAGTAGGTTTTCGCATTAAATAGTGATAGACAGGTCATTTCTATGCATTCCTCTTTTCTTTCTTCTTGGAGTTATTTTAAGATGGCTGATAAATATTTGCTTTGGAATACCTTTATTCTTGAAACAGTGTTTGTTTTGTCACATAAGAAGCTTTCGTTTTATGCCCTGAAAAAGGAATAAATGTAAAAAGCGAAAAGAAAATTCAGACATTTTCTTTGAAAAAGTAGTTTATATAACTACGCATATGCCTAAAAAATAGTTCATTCTCTACAGTTTCATGGACACAAATCTCATATTTCAGTATATTTAAAATATGAGTTTTGCTGAACGTCATCACAAAGAATTACTCATAAACCTTAATTTTTAATCCAAAGGGGCTTTGTAGCTAAAGGACTATTGTTTTCGTTTTGCGATTTTGCGTTGAATCACTATAAATGACCGTTTCACTTTTCAAACTGTCGCCACAAAATGTTAGAGTCCTGCATTATATTTGAAGAAATTAAATGATGAAAATCTGCATAAATGTATATATATATATTTCTCGCATTGTGATAAACAACGATATCTATAGCCATCGAATTTTTATAATGACGTAATCCTGTTGCGAATATGGGCATCTGAAATCCCAAATTTGAAATTCGGAATTTGTTTTATTATCTATTTCATATTTCGTAAAACTTTAACGAATTTTTGAGTAACAAACTCAGCAATTTAAAAGAGAGCAATGGCAACACTTTAAAAGGGGGGTACCTTTTTATCTCCAGCGCGTCGAGCTGTGTGTCGGAAATTCTCAAGATAGGCTCATTTTAAAATTATTTTGTGACATTGTTATTGAATTAAATTTTATGGTTTAAGAACATGATATTTAATAAATTAAGGTAACACACATAACGTTAAAAAACGCCCCTTTGGAATGAATTTAAAATCTGAAACCTTTCAGATTTTTTCCCCTCTGTTTTTGATTATGTGTATTTTAAAACCGGGAATTGAAAGATTATGCTGAAAATTATATATATTTCAAATACTGATGAGGATTAGAGGATCGCTCGAAAGTGAAGTCTCAGCGTCCGTGCCTTGCGTAAATCAGGTCCTGCTTTAATTACTAATTTTTTTCATTACAAATTGTATTATTTATATTATAATTTATTTATTTTTAATGTTTATAACAACTATCGCATTTAGTTCGCTGATATTCCTACAAGTTTTCATTTGTGACTCCACAGAAAAACATTTCATTAGACACGATAAAAGATTTTGAAGTATGTCCCACAAGGGTTTCAGAATTAAATATTGTAAATAGTTACTTAGCGGTATCATTCGACTTTAATACTCAGTATCTAGAAGTATATTAAATTGATTTTTTTTTTTTTTAAATTGTAACTTTGAGTCAGCATTTTGTAATATACTTAGTCATGTATTAGTTTTGGATACCCTGCATATATATATATATATATATGTATTAAGCTTTTAATACTTTCATAAGGCGTGTTTTAATTTACATTTAACATACATAGATTATACATAGATTATATTATATATTACATACATAGATTATATTGATTTTTTTTTTCCTTTTCTCTCCCTCTCTTATGAATTTTTAACTTATCCTTTGAACATAATTCCTTGAGAAAGCTTTGCAAAAGAAATTCAAAAATCAAATATGCATTCTCTTATTTTAAATCAAGTGATTATTTACCTTTGTTCATGCCATTTTATGAAATTTAAGCTTTCTTTTTTTTAAATTTTCCTAAATCATTTGACTTTTTCTTCCCCTCTCGCGATTAATTACTAATTACATCTGAAGCTATATTTGATCGCACATTTTTACGCATGGTGTATCAGTACAGGTGACAGGTGAATGCAGGGCCCGGACACCCGGACGATTTAATATGACAAATCGGATGTCGTCCGGTACCCGCACCTATTCAGAACAACACAACCCTGGCGACTTCCTGAGAGGGCTGCATCGGGAATATATTAATGGAGAATATGAGGTATTGATGTGGTCAAAAAAGGGCGTGTGCATATATATGCTTAAGTATACAATTAATAAAAAGTTTCATACACAGGTACATTGGATACATATGTATATTGGTCTAAGTGGTTAATGATATAAGCAAACAATAAACACTTATACATTAAAAGAAATGAAACACTGATAATGCAACTGGCGCATTAATATGCAGAATGACAATTAATGAATACCGAATCGTGTGTCATTCTGTATGACTATACATTAAACTACTAGAAATGATATGCATAACACATGCGAATGATGGCGATAAATGAAAACACATAATCATGCATATTCTACTGGGCTATTGCACACATCAATAAAATTATAACACACCTATACGTTGACAGAATGAGACACTGAGATGAAAATTGTGTGTATCATGTCAAAGATGAAAATTAATGTTACACGTATTCGTGTATTCCTTACTTGGCTGTACATATATATTAGTACAAATGATATACTTAAACACTTAAACATAATGGAAATGAAATACTGAAATGGCACTGTACTTATATGATAGATAAGAATAATGGTAACACTTAATCGTGATCATCCTAAGTGGCTATAAATACAGTGATAGAAATGATACACTTATACATTAATATACATTTATAAATGGTAATGATGCATTTATACATTAATAGAATGGTACATGACAATGAAATTTTCACATTAATACGAAAGATGACAATTAATGATAAACATAATCATGTATTATCCTACTGCGCTATGCGTAATAAGCCTTTTAACACCTGTAAGTTACAGAAATGTTGCACTGAGTGCAATGCTTGTGCATCATTGCGAGAGATGACAATTATATATACACATAATCGTGTAGCGTCCTAGTAGCTATACATACATTATAGTAGAAGTGCTATACTTAAACATTATATAGAAACGACACACGGAAGTGATACTTGTGGATAAATATGAAAGATACGATTAATAAAAATCATGAACATAAATTGTCCTACATGCTAGTATACATTATTAGAAATGAAACCTTTAACACCTATACATTAATAAAATGATACACTGATTGTGTATTAATGCGAAAAATGACAATTAATGATTATACATACTCGTGTGTTATCCTACATGGCAATATAGACATTAGTAGAAATGATACGCTTAAACACTGATACAGAAGATGCACTGAAAATGGTATTTGTACAATAAAACGATGCGGTGATAAACTTTCAGGAGAGATAGAGTACACCTAGACGATGGGAAATCACATAGGAATGCATGGCCGGAAACGCTTTCCTGGCGCAGTAGTGACGTCACAAAACGCAAAAAAGGAAGTACACAAACAGTGAGACAAAACGCGTTTTATTATGTTTAGTACAGGTGACAGGTGACAGAGGTCGGGAACGCCTGGTGTTTAACAGAGGTAAACAGGCATATGTCCCTCGCCCTCCCCTATCTACCGGGAGTTTATTGAGATCTTAAAAGAATTATTACATTGCCATACAGGGGAAGATGAGAGATATATTGGCTATTTATGTTGTATTACAGATTTTAGGTTTGCAAGGTATACATTATATAACATACTGGTTACACATAAAAAAATTAACATAACACATACATGACACATAAACACTATTAATAAAGGAGGTACACTGCTCAAAAAAAAAAAAAAAAAAAAAAAAAAAAAAAAAAAAAATGGGACAGTGCTATATCTCCCGTTCTACTGGGCGTTTTCAACGAAATTCAAATTGCGTTCTTCATGTCTCGAAAAGCGCGACTTAGGATATATATTAGATTTATATACAGCACTATTCTAACATAGGTATTTTGACACAAAATCGGACTTTTTCTGAAATAACATCCCAATTTTTTTTTACATATTTCGATTCTACGACTCAAATTACGCCTAAATATGAAATTTGTAAAATTTGGGAGCGAAATTTACGGAGAAATTCAAAAAATTTATGTTGGCACTTTTTTGTCAGTTTGCGCCAAGAATACTTCACTTGGCGAACTTCTTAATATATGGCAACCTAGTTTCCTTTCCGTGAGAGGAAAAAAGTCACCATCGTTCCTTTTTCCAAATAATATTCTTTATATTATATTTTTAATTATAACTTATTATTTTTTAAGTAATTTTTTCTTTTTCGAATTTCATTTTAATTGTTTAAGTTGCACTTTTTTTTTTTTTTTTTTCGAATAACTGTTTTAAAAATTCTATTTACCTATTCGAACTGCGTAAATAAAGGTGCAGCGTTCATTTTTTGTTTTCAAATACTTTTCTTTATATATATATTTTGTCATAGTAGTTATTATTTTAGGTAATTTTAAATTTTATGTTTATTCTTTTATTTCAATTGTTTGTATTGCATTGTCTCTTCAGATAATTGTTTTAAAATTTTCTATTTATTTCATTCGAACTGAGCATTTTAAATATATTTATTAATATCAATTTTCCAGAATTTGATTTTATTTATTTGAACTGCGTTTCTTTCGGAAGAATACTTTGTAACCCAGACTACGATGATGAGTTTGAAAACTGCATACTATATTAAAGAGAGAAAATACAGTAAAGCACAGTTTTTACACGCCTTTCAATGTTCCGTTCAGAAAAGATATATATAAATATAAGAGAGATGTATAACCGGCATTTTAACTTAGGATGACTTGCATAAACTGCTTTAAAACAGTTTTATCATTGTGCCCATTGCTTTACACAATTTTATCCTACATTTGGTTTCTTAAAATGTTATTCATATTTTAGTCAAATATTTTATTTTTGAAATCGCAAGAATCAAATATCATAACATTGAAAAGTTTTAAAATTAATAAAAAAAAAAAAAAAAAAAAAAAAAAAAAAAAAAAAAAAACTAAATTTTACGAAAAAATTTATTTTTCTTCTCTTTTTCTTTAAGAATTCTGAAAGTATATTAAAAAGTATCCAACTTTTCGAAACATTTTGGTATTTCTGGCAATCATTTTAAATAAAGTTATCGCCTTCCATT